AGAATGTTAGAATGTTTGTTTTCTTGTTAGTCTTAATATATCATTTTCTTTTAAAATAATTCTGCTTCCATACATTGATGTACCTAGTGCAAAATTTAATTTGATCCTCAGTATCAGATTTATAAACTTACATTTCACTAATAAATTTGCAGTTTTATTAGCATTTGGACCTTTCCCATTGTTTGCTAATACTCTGTAGGTTCCAAAATCTAAGCAGTTAAGTAAAGGTATTTCCAATGAGCTTCTTTTCACATTATAGTCTTTTTCTATAACGCTGTTATTTCTAGAAAATACCCAAGTGATGTTAGATGACGGATTTCCATCCACGTCACAAACCAGTTGAAAACGTTCATTTTCTTTGACGGAATATGTTTGATTCCAATTTGATGTTATAACATTGTTGTCTGAAAAGAAATCAAGCTGATTGTGTTAAATCTTAAATCTAAAATAAATCAATGAACCACAACAACTTCCTATGTAACCTTGACTTAAAGGCTTAAATAATAGATGACAAAATTTATAATTATATAATCAATTGTATGCAAAACTATATTTTAATTTCGACCTTCTTGATGATGAATTTGAGATTAAATATATAGTCTATTCATCAAATTAAATAAAGTCCGTTGATTTTACAAAAGAATCAAATATGGATTTAAATCTGCATACAATGTAACTTACAAAAAACAGTCAGTGGCACACTCCTTGATTTAGGGCTGGTAAGGAAGCTGTGGCTAGCTATACAAGTACACTGCTGATTGTTGTAGGATTTGTTCATCACCAATGACAATACAGACACAGCTGTAGTAGAATTACTCTGATTGGTTCCTGTCATTACTGTGTTCTTACATCTCCATGACAACGTGGCTACAGGGTTTCCTCCTAGTATTTGACAGGTCAAGTTGACTGCAGTCCCGGTGTTGTACTGAAGTCCTGGAGGGGAGGCTTTGATGACAGGGTCAGTGGATGGAGGATCTATCAAAAAGTACAGCATTTAAGATTATTTAAGTTACTGTATAAATTTCAAGTAGCACAAACTCTGATATTTATTATGAGTAAAAAACCATGTTATGTAAAGTTGAACGATTTCTTTAAGTCACAACAGTTTTGTTACGTCAAATGTAATCAGTCTGTTAACACAAATTAAAATCTTTTAAATGTTGCCAAAAAGGTTTCGATAATTAAAAGTTCAATATTTCATTGAACTTATCAAAATCAAATAATTTTCCTAGTGGTGAGGGTGGTGGGTAGGCGATAGAGATGGTGTAACACGACATTTTTGATAACCAACAACAAAACTAATGCACATGCAATTAAGACAACAACAAGTACAAAAATATACACATGTCTTTTGCAAATAAATTTGATTATTCTTAAATGTTCCTGCAATGATATGAACACCTCCCTTGAAAACGCAAGAATTATAGACTGTATATGTTTCTATATTGGAACCATCTATATTACACTGCTGGTTGCCAGGTATGAACGGGGAACTTATCCAAATTCTATTACCGTGCATTTTAAAGGTGTACAAAAGATAACTTAAAATGCCAGTTGACTTTCTGACCACTAAAGAGTCACATAAAATCCTTTTAATATTCCTGTTGTAGCCACTTTATTAACTAGTTCACTCGGTGAGGTAAAAGTTGGTTGATACTAGTATTTGTTACTTATAAAAAAAATAGTTTGACTTACATGACTTATAAAAAAAACAATTAGTTATCGCATTAGAGAAAAATTAGAAAAACTATTAGAGAAAAAGTTAGCTTACAAAATACAGTCAGTGGTACACTCCTTGAATTAGGGCTGTTGAGAAGCCTGTGATTGGCTGTACAAGTACACTGCTGATTGTTGTAGGAGCTATCCATCACCAATGACAACAAAGAGACAGCTGTGGTAGAGGTACTCTGATTGGTTCCCGTCATTATTGTGTTTTTACATCTCCATGACAACGTGGCTACAGGGTTTCCTCCTGACAGTTGACAGGTCAAGTTGACTGCAGTCCCGGTGTTGTACTGAAGTCCTGGAGGGGAGGCTGTGATGACAGGTTCAGTGGATGGAGGATCTACCAAAAAGTATCTAAGATCAACAAGTATATATAAATATTCAGAACAAATCTCTGCTTGATACATTTTCCTTGTTTTAGATACTGTTAAACAAAACGAAAATATTAGGCGCACTACTAATTTTAGCGCGTTTGGCGCAATCTAAAATTTCAAATTAAAATAAATTTAACATTGTGCAACGTCCCTATAATTGCAACACCACGGTTAAGTTGACGAATGTATGCTTATATACGGGAGTGCTATTGTGTTTCAGTGCTTGACTAACCGAAAAGTCAAATACGGGCGTGGATTTAAAAAACAATGTCACATTTGTACATTTTAATGACAAGTGCAAGCGCTACCACTTGCGTTTGCGCTAAAATACGTATGCGCCAAATTTTCACGTTTTATAGTGTGTCAAAAATGATCAATTATAACTTGCCAATAACCTTCATGTGTTACAAAAGTTAATTCAAATTATAAAAGTTATTTCAAATTGATAATTTACCAATATGGTATTTATTGACTTACAAAATACAGTCAGTGACACACTCGTTGATTTAGGGCTGGTAAGGAGTCTGTGATTAGCTGTACAAGTACACTGCTGATTGTTGTAGGAGCTATCCATCACCAATGGCAACACAGAAACAGCTGTGGTAAAGGTACTCTGATTGGTTCCTGTCATTGCTGTGTTTTTACATCTCCATGACAACGTGGCTAAAGGGTTTCCTCCTGGTAGTTGACAGGTCAAGTTGACTGTAGTCCCGGTGTTGTACTGAAGTCCTGGAGGGGAGGCTGTGAAGACAGGGTCAGAGGACGGGGGATCTATAAATATATATTTAAGATTAACTAAACTTGTATACATATTCGTAATCAAATTCTGTTAATTAAATACTTTCTAAGACTAAAATTAATAGTATTAGGTTAAACTAGAAACATGTTTTTGTTAACTGTTGTTAGTGGAACTTATCATGTGATTTAAATTATAGCTATCTAGCTATATATACTCAACAATAAAAGAAACGCATATTCAGATCAAACCTGATAATCTAAGTTTTTAGTTTAAACCTCATATTTAAAAGTGATTTCAGAGTGTGTTGTGATAAAAATTAAACACGTCGTATGTTGTGAATTGAAAAGTTAAGTTGGTGTCATTGTCGCCGCCTCCAAATTCTAGGGGCATACCGTCATAACCAATCCATATGTCCTTTGCGATGCCTCAGGACTAGTGGATTTCCAATGTACGGATATCATGCACGAATACCAGCTCCTGTCGGTCCTTTCAGAATAATTATAATACACAACAAGGTTGCCAGTTTTTCCTAAGTATTAAGAATAAAATTAAAATTTGTGAAAGTACTAGGATGTGTCAATCAAACCCGCCAAAAAAATGAAGTTTTAATAACTTTTAAATGAAATAAGATTATTTATTAATTTTTGTGTGAAATGCTATTAAAATATATGTGTCGTAGTATTATAGAGAAAATATTAACTTCAAATTTGTGTCCAAGTACCTTTAAGTTAACTCACAATATTTCCATTTTTATTTTATTTTCTCTGTGAAAACTATTTGAAAATTAGGTGTGTTAAGTTCTTAATGATTTAACCGGAATGTAAATTTCGCGAAGAGGAAGGTCGAGATCCAAGCTTTATTCGGCATTCATGCAGGACAATTAAGCAGTGAAGCTAGGGATTGTGTTCGTGCCATCGCCATCTTTAAAATGGGACCTTGTTTATACGGTCACCTAACCTGTTCCTAACTCACCATAACTGGTCTTACATATACTTACTATCTATGTAATATGATGAAAATGTATTCAGGATTCGGTCATTGCTGTATACCAGTTTGACTCAGATATCTATATATCCCCTTTAATGTTCCTTATAATTTTTTTTGTGTCAGTGAAAATATTATATCTTGAATAGGTGTCCCTGTGGGACATATATTCACAATAATTTTATTTTAAACCGAATTCGTGTTTCTGATATTCTCCTTTCTAGATCCATTATTCGGATCGAAATAAGTGAATACTGAAGGATATTATTCGTCATTCATCTACTTGACTTCAGAAAATGTTCAAAAACAGCGGAAAAAGCTCAAAGCCTTGGAAATGTTGGAATTTCAAGGATAAGTTTTTCAAAATGGAATTCATTATCTTGTTAGTTATAGACGAGTTGCCAATGATGTTATATCACTTAACAGCAATTGTTAACTTACATCTTATATCCAGTGTGTATTTGTTGGACCCTACATTTTGCCATGATGGTCTGTTGCTGGCATTGCAGTACACCTGCCGACCATTGTCCTCTGGCACACCTGTATACTGTAGTACTGATGTCGTTCTATAGAGGCCATTGCTGTTGGTGTCTGTTGTGACTGTGGTGGGCGTGGCTACACTATATGATGCCTTGTACCACGTGATACTGGCTGCTGGGTTACAATAGTCTGTCTGACAGATTAGATTTATCTGTTTACCAGCATCCACAGTAATGTTAGTTGGGGTCAGGGTCACTGATGTTACTGAAACTATAGAATGAAATTAAATGCAGACTGAGGTACATGTACCATACGCACTGCATGATTTTACAAAATGATACTCCAGTCCCCATGAATATTAAAATAATGACAAATTTACTTTAAAATGATAATTGTAGTCAATATGACAAATTTAAAGTATATTTAAATCATTTTTTAAGACAGTAAAATAGACAGTTATGGATTTATTTACATTTTCACTAATGTCTAAACAATTACAATACTTCAAGAAGAAAGAATTATAATACCACCACAATTCTTACATTTCTATTGCAAAATAAAATGCAAATAAAATGCAAATATGCGCATGATTACTTAAAAGTAAAAAGCAATTTGCATATTAACAGAAAGTCAATATGAATATTATGCTCGTTTCTACTGGAAATCCAAAAGCAAATGCAAGTAGTTTGATAAAATAAATAACAGGAAAACTCAATGGTAGATATAACTAACCTGTAACATTGAAATTGACTTGATTACTTCTCTCATCTGAGAATAATCTCTTGCAATAAACTCCTTCTCCATTCCATCTCCTGGGAACAGGATAAACCACACGATATGTTGTATCATTCGGACATGTTGTATAGTAATTTAGAGAACAAAAACTGGCTTTACAGTTTGATCCTGATGAATTTGATGTTAGATTGCAGAAAGTGTTATTGCTTGCAGTAGAGTAAAAAGCTGCTTCTAGTGGATTGTTGTCAAAGTTGCATTGAATTGTCACGTTCTGATTCACCTCCACCGGACCAGAGGGAGAAACTGTCAGGTATATGGAAGCTATAAACAACAAACATAAAAAGAAAAGATCTCTTGTACAAATGGAAAACTAATTCATTAGATATTAAATTGCATTTCAAATTCAATTTCATTTTTTATGCAATGCCCCCGTAATCTTCGGTATATAGTTTTTGCCATGTTCATCCGTCTATCTATCTGTCTGACTGTTTGTTTATCTGCAAAAAACTTAAACATGTTTGACCTTCTCCATAAGTTTTGAAGGGGTGGGGTCATAATTTTTTTATTCGGTACTCCTTCTGACAAGACCTTTCTTTGGATATCATCAAATTTGACCTCTTGACCTTAGAGTTTGACCCACTTTTACCAAAATTTACAAAAATTTTACCTTAGCTTGGTCATGTTTTGAATAATGGACTGGGGCTCTCATATTTCACCGGTGTTTTATATGTGACAATACCTTCCTCTGGATACCAACAATTGTGACTTTTTAACCTTGAAAATAATTTTGAACGGTAAGCAGTAGGGCTATCGTATTTCACAGGTATAGTCCCTGGAATAAAATCTTTCTTCGGATACCAACAATTTTGACCTTTTCAAAAAATAAATAATAATAACCTAGGTCATGACTTTTGAACACTAGACATTGCGGTTTTCGTATTTCACAGATGTATTCCTTGTGAAAAGACCTTCCTATGGATACCAAATATTTTGACCTTAAACCTGCACGATGCAAATGAAAAACTTCAGTCTCGTCATAATCTTCCATGCTGGGGCATCTGTATTTCAAAAACACATCTTTGTGTAATTTTTTAGCTCAATTAATCGAAGATTCGAGGGTACTAGTATATAATTTTTGTCTTATCCTTCTGTCTGTCCGTCTGTTTATCTGTTTTGTCTGTTTGTCCGCAAAAACTTCAACAATGCTCATATTTTTGAGTGTGTGGAGATATGACTTTCATATTTTACAGGTGTATTCCTTGTGACGAGATCTTTCTTTGGGTACCACTAAATTTGATATTTTGACACATTGACATTTGAGTTTCACCATTTTTACAAAAAATTACAAAATTGTATGCTTATTCATAATTTTTGTAGTAAGAGCTAGGGCTTCCACATGTTATTACATGTATATTCCTTGTGACAAAACTTTTTTTTTTTGGTAACACCAAATTTGCCTTTGAACTTAGAGTTTTGCCCACTTTTCTAAAACTTAAACTTGATCCCTAACTTTTGAACATTAAGAAACTGTGGTTTTTATAGTCCACAGACAAGCAAGACATTTCTTTTGCTACCACCAAATTTGACCTTTTACCTTGATCGTGGAGTTTAACTTGCATTTGTGAAGCTTCAACGCTTGCAATTAACTGCCAAACATGGTCATCAGTTTTTCAAAAATACGTCCTTTTATAAATACGAGTATATATTCAATTCAAATATTAAATTGCATTATACAAGTACTATTTTTTTACTTTATTTACAAGACATGTATGAAATTCTTAGATTTTTTTTTTGATCAGTGAAAATAAAACTTTATTTAATTTAAAGTGTGGATATGTAAAATTTTACGAAGCATGAAAAAAAAACAATTTTCTTAAAAATCATATCTTCGATTCTATAAACTAGTATTAAGTGGAACTTAAACCAGAGAAAATTGTTAATATGATAGAAGCTTTTATCTTATTATTTTTTTTAATTAAAACAACTTACCGCGTATAAATTACAGTTGGTCATGAACAGGAATTTCCCTCCTCCAATATAGAATGAACTAGTGTACATACACATCCAAGCTCAAGAACGTTTTTTTTTCTAATTGTTTAGTTTTAATGTTACAATGAGTTTAATATGGAATATGAAAAATTAAATCATAAAAATAAATAACAAATTTTATAAGCCCATTGGCCCTATCCTATTCAAAATATCTGAACATTTAGATTACAATGTATATGATTTTTAAATCACGTACATTGTAGAATGCAATAGATTTGTTTATTTACATGAAAGAATCCTAAGTGTGTAACGATGGTCTTACAAGGTAGTTTTATGATAAGTTAAATATACTGTACGTGTACATAATTTGGCATATTCAAAATTTAACAGCGCTATCAATGGATTTGGAATTGTTGGCGTAGCATGAATTAGCGTTAAATAGTTTTGGTCCGTATATCCTATTTATGAATGATTTCTTAGCAGTATTCATTATCGTTCGCTCCAAAGCCGCAAAAATATGAAGCCCGCTATTTTAAGTATACGTACGGTATTTCCATCCACTGAAAATTTTTTATGGAGATCATTACCATTAATCAGTACATAAACGACACTAAGCAAACCAAAATATTTCTTGAACAATATATTTGTGATAACCAAAACCTTTCTAAGAAAATTTTTCACAGCAAAATTTATTCTTATATTAAAAATAATGTAGTCTTCGTTTGGTTCGATTCGTTTGCAAGACTATCACGCTTACCACTAGACTACGCAATTCCTGAGTATATAAATCATGTTTGTTAAATGACACTTAACTTAATGGACTTCAAGTATTTCTCTAAAAGGTGCGAGTTTTTATCATCAAATTATATTAAGGTGTTATGGGTCTTTGCTCCATATTTTTGGTTATCAAAAATGTATACGTTATTGCCAGCTTTGATTATTTATTTTTCTTTTAAAATGAGAGAAGACCACTTATATACTTTATGGACTTTTGATCTTGAATTCGGTTTGTTATCTCCATATGATTCAGATCGATAATTGGTGTCACATGTATCTAATGAAAAATGACTCCTTTTGCCATCTCTAGTGTGCGTATAATATTTCATAGGCACATAATCTCAAACTTTGTGATATTTTTGCAAATATAAGATACAGTATTTTACGTAAATTATATTTTAATGTTCGATGAAATATCAAGAAAATATTTGATATTATTGAGATAAAAAGTTGAAAAAGATGAAAAGTTTTGTCCGTTTTATGTTTGTCACACTATAGATTGTTTTGCTTGTGAGTTTCACCCATCTTCTTTATCAGGAAATGTGATTTAATTGTGACAAGAGGGAAGGAAGGATATAACTTTAAGGACACAAAGTGTACGTAAAAAAGACATTTGATTACATCTACAAAATATATATATATATTGAGGAACAAAGAAAGTTTTATTTTTCTAATAATGTAAACATTTGTGGTATATCTGCATGCAGAGAAAAAGAAGTTTTTACAGGTCATACATGTACATGACGGTCATTACGTGACATATTCACACTGTGCAATAATATGTTACGGTACATAGATATAAAGTGATAATTGTTTTATTTACAATGTAAACAAATATTAAATAACTTTGGGCGATCGATTCAGAAAATAGAAAAATAGCCTTTGAGTATACTGTAAAACTACACACTTTTGAAGGGTCAAATATTCATGGTTTGAGGAAAATGTAGTGGTTCATTAGGATTTGATTTTTAATTAAACCCCCACAAAATTTGAGATTTTACAGTGTTTTATTTCAGTTGCATAGTCTCTACGTTTATCCCTATTATCAATCTATTGCAATCACTCCACGAACAGCTGAAAAACACTTCGGTGTTGTCGTAACAATGTAAGCTGTCCCTAGTGTCTTGGTGTCTACATCATAATGAATAATGTCCTACTGATGTTAATGTTAAAAACCTATAGATCTCTTCTCTGTTATTAGATATGAACACGTTTAAAGTTTTTGTGACAGACTGACGGATAGACAGACGAATGATTATGAGATCTAACGTCCGCTTGCTTTCGCAAAAGGGACAAAATTAAAAATAAAATTCTTAAAAATCGTGGAAGTTTTCTCATGCCCCCGTTATCGAATATGGGGGTATATAGTTTTTCTTCCGTCTGTCTGTCTATCTGTTTGTTTGTCCGCAAAATCTTTAAACTTCTCTAAAATTTTTGAGGAGCTATGGCTTTTATATTTCACGAGTGTATTTCTTGTGACAAGATCTTTATTTTTGTATCATCAAATTTGAACTCGTGACCTTGATTTTGGAGTTTTACCCACTTTACAAAAGATTTCCAATCTTTTGACATAGCTACAAATTTTGAATAGTTGATGCTAGGGTTTTCGTACTTAAAACGTGTATTTACTGTGACAAAATATTTCGTGGGGTATAATTTTTTTTATTTTAACTTTAAGTCTGGCCTACTTTTAAAAAAAACCTTGATCATAACTTTTGAACCCTTAGTACTTGGGTTTACATATTCAGTATTTCACAGGTGTATTTCTTGTGAGATGATCTTCCTTTGGATACCAACAGATCTTTTGACCTAGGAGTTTTTACCTTACATTTGAGCAGCCAAGCGGGGGCATCAGTGTTTTACAAATACATCTTGTTTTACATGTGTATTACTCTAACACGTGAGCAGAACCCCTTTTAATTTTTTATTGCAATAAATTTTCCTGTTTTGTGAAAGTTTACTTGTAGCGTGTCAGACTTGTAACGAAAAGCACAATGACACCGTCATATAACCTAAAATCAAATCAGTAGCATGGTTCTAAGAAAAACGTATTTTATGATTATTAGAGTCAACAAAACAGTTACCTTACCTTCCGATAATGAAGTAAGAAAAGTAAAATACCCAAGGAAAACCAGTATAATTCTCCTCTCCATAAAGTAAAGGTAAGACATAACTCAAATCTTTTTTTTTTTTGTTTTTAAAGTTATGTTTTAAAAAGCTTCCTGGTTTGTGAAACCGAGCTTTCTAGTTTGTGAAACCGAAATAAAAATTATTTTAGAAAGATTAACTTTCATTGATATCTATTGGCCCAATATACTAGTAGTGGGGCAGTGAATTGTACACCGCACGGGCATAATTATTAAGATCATTTTAATAAACAAGAGACCCAAGGGCCTTAATGGTTTCCTACGCATAATGCAACGATCCATAGATAATACAAAATAAAGCGATAAATAAAGCTATGTTGCCCCAAAACAAGAAAATAAGTGGGACAATGAGGGATGAGCAAAGTATTTATATGGAATTTGATAAGAAATCTTAAAGTTGATCTATTTATTTACTCGTACTTTCTTCCATGGGCTACTTATGATCCTCATGCACAAAAATTCTAGAGTACTATTAGTTAACACATGAAATATATGGAGATAAAAAACAGTATTCGAGCTCAAAAGTCCATTAAATGATACAAAATAGGAGCACCTCTGATGTTTTAGATGTCCGTGTTTGCCCTGCTCCAATTTTATATAATTGTTTGATGGACTTTTGAGCTTGAATATACTACATGTGTATTTCGTTATCGCCATATATTTTATTCAAGACATTATATATCTATATATATATATATATATATATATATATATATATATGGGCTAACTCATTTCATTGTTTCAAAGAGACAAACCTAGAAACAAGATATTTTTCTAGAGTTGCCCAACCCTCTTTTCCCTTCCTAAATTTTGATTAATTTTTTTCACCATTTTTCTTATTTAGTTATATTTTTTCTATAAAGCGAAAATCATTTCCCTAGATTATAGTTTACTTGTTTTGTATTTCTCATACAATTATTAAACTTTACTGAATATTTAGAACTTTATTTAATTATTTACTATTCAATTACTAGCTCACTCTAGGTGGACTCAGACTTACCAGGAAATAAGAAGGTGTAATGGACATGGTTAAAATATCAAGGCAAAAAACGTAAAACAACACTCACACAACACGAAGAACAAATAAACCATTATCAATAGTTCTAATTGATTAATACCCAACTACTACTTATGTTTCATATAAACTGAGGTATTTTAAGTCGGTATAGGGCTTTCCTTACAAATGACCAAAATTTCAACAATAAGAATACCATGTAAAGGTTCTATATAGCATTTGTAAGCATAATGTTTACATTCAAAACTTGTGTTAATTTTCAAAATATCTTTGAAAATGATTGATGGTGCGTAGCGTTAAAGTAAATTACGAAACGGAACGAAGAAATAATTTTAGCCGTTTTCGTAGTTATCACCGAGATCTGTTATGAAAATAAAAAATGTTGTCGAGGGGGCAAATTTTCGTAATTTGAGGAAATATATTGGTTCAAAGGGATTTGATTTCGTGGCTGAAGAATTGTTCAGTAGTAATATATGTGAAAAATTGCAAATTCGTGGGTCTCTTCATATCATTAAAAAACTACAAAAATTGCAACCCCCCTTTCGAAAATTAGTAATTTCACAGTATGTGTTTCTTTTTTTTCTGTGTAATTTTTCCAATTATGGCAGATTGTCAAGTGAAACATTTGTTGTATTCAAAGAAGACGTTAATATAAAGAAGGTTGTAATATTTATTAAACTTTTTTTATAATCATTATCTAGTATTTTTTTTTATTTTCACTGAAATATAATGCTAGATAATTGTTATTATTGGTTTCTTTATTCCCTTTGTAATTGTCTAGACGTTTTTGAGTCAACGACTGCTAGGCATCAACTTACCGGGGTAATGAATCTCAACTTCATATGATTAAAATAAAACAATGCTAGAATTGAACGATGGACGTCCCAAGAAACCTCTAACATAAATTTGCATTATCTTGCATACTATCATTGCAAAATCAAACGATTGCATACATCATAATTAACAATATTTTACATCCGTAATTACTGTTATAACATTTTTGCTATTTTTATAAATATTAACTAATAAGCACAAAATCAAATAGAGATTGATAAATTGATCATATATTGTTAAAGGTCGCTCTCGAGAAAGTTTCACTCATTTGGAGACGCCAGCACTTGCCGGTTGAGAGCTGCAGATTTTGTCCTATACTCGGCACTCAGGGCCATTGAGCAGTGAGGGATCTTTTTCGTGCCAGCACCTACTGCGGCACGAGACCTCGGTTTATACGGTTTCATCCGAATGACCTGTCTCCACGTCTCACAGTGGGATTTGAGCCCATTCAAATATTGAAAGGCTGCTCCTAAACTTATAGAAATTCAAGTCAATATTCGGTCTCAGTTCCATGATATTCATCATTACTTTAATTGACCAGCATGTATTATCAATAACGTATTTGTCAACAACCTACGTCACTTTATTGGGGAAAATGGACCATTTTAATGCCAGAGGCAATGATCTGGAGATTGTAACGTCACCAATCAGGGAAAAGGTGCATCTTATTTGAAATGGAACTTCAGGACAGTCATATTGACAGATTTGTTTACATCGAATCAGAGGTAATTTTTGAGACATATAAAATTAGGGGAAAATTATTAAGCATTCCTAGAAAATGCATTTGTCGCAGAATTTTCAGGCTCACATTTCTAGTGCGTCATTTCTATTGATGTACATATTTAAGACTATGAAAATACTTATCTTTATTTTTATTTTAAAAGAAATATACACTAGTATTTATGTAATAATGTAATTATTTGAATGTACTATGCTGAAATAGTGACCAGGGCTTGAAGCAGTTCTGTGTGTGGCGTAATCGGTAGCGCATTGGTGTTCCGGATTATGAGTACTGTAGATCACTAAATTTTCGCGAAACCTTATTTTCGCGAGATAGGCATTGATTCTTAATAAGCGAGACAAATTTTCACGAATTGTGGTTATTTCTCTATATAATTCTATAAGAATTAAATTTTTGCGAGCACACTGTCTCGCGTAATTACGCGTAAATAAAGTTCACGCGAATAAAAAGTGATTAACAGTATGATTCCTGGCGGATGTGTTTTTTACAGTTTCTCTAGAAGGACATGGAAGAACTATTTCAGCATAGTATAGTTACAATAAATGATGCATAATTACTTTTTTAATATCCGGAAAAATGAATATTGACCATGGATTTAAAAAAAAACCTTGAAGCATAATTAAATTATTTTGAAAATCCTTAGAATTACTTTAACTTATTGTTTTTTAATGGAAAGATAATGTTTTCAGATAAAAGTTTCACCAAGGAAAGAAAGAACTTGAAGCATTTGGGATGAACAACACTTGGGAGAACTTGACTTTAAAACTGGATCCTGTCTGGGATGATTTTTCAAATCAATCTTCAACCAATCATTCTAAATGGTACAACGGAACAAATCAGACTGTCACCACATGTACAGCGCCTAACGGAGAAATTACAAATGAACAATCCTCAGAGGTTTCCTTTATCATTGCAACTACCATCTGTATTGTAGGAACCTTCGGAAATGTAACAATTATCTGTCTCTTTATCTTTCAGAAAAAGCTTAAAATACCAACATATACAGGAATATTTTGTTCTTCCGTTGCTGATTTATTCAGCCTAATTCTGAGATATTTCAGCACATCCCTAGATAAATTTCCCTGGATTACTTCATTTCAGTATTTTTATGGACTCACGGCAATTTTTAATTTCTCCTCTAATTACCACCTTTTAATCATCGCCATTATCCGTTACATCTACATCAGTAAGCCGTTTTACAGCCTCACCTTTACGTACAATAAGGTTGTGTACATGTCGCTCGGGGTGTGGATCTGTTCCCTGGTTGTTGCAATCTTGTACAGCGTGCATTTATATCTGCTTTCTGAAAATTTAATGTCCATGTCACACAGTGTTACTGTGGAGCTTATAACGATTTGTTTATCGTTTTGTGGATCTCTTTTACCGGTTGCAATACTCCATATTGTTAACATTATAAACATTCGAAAAGGTCTATCAAAATCCACTGTATCTTTTCAGAAATCGATGTCTGCTATGCTGGTAGCCATTATTATTATTTCATTTGTAACGAACTTTCCAATTCTTCTTGTTTTTGTCCTGTATCTTAATAATGTTTATTTCGGCAATGAAATTGATACTACTGTTTCCATTCTGATGATGATAAGTTGTACTTCAAATCCTCTTGTATATTTCGTGTTTTCGAAGACAGTCAAGAAACAAATAGCCAGATTTATAACATGCAAGTGCTTTCGAAATTGAAGCCTTGTACGCAAAGTATTCTGAATCTTCTTCATGATAAAAAAAATTCTACATTCTTCAAATATTGTTTTTGAAGCAAATCAGAACAAATATACTTCTTTAATGATTCTTTAATAATTTTTGTCCCTTTTTTATCAATATCAGCAATAATGTTCTGACAAAAATTACAAGTCCGTTTGGCAAACTGTAAAAAAGGAAAACCAATAGAAATCAACTACAATTTTGGTTTTGCCATAGAGTTAAAATTTTAAAAAAATTGTCTTATGTTCCTTTTTAAAGTCGAAATTTCTTATGTAATGTAAGATGATAATATTATTAATAACAATATGAATTCTTTATAAGACAAGAAACTGTTTAACAACATTTACACACAAGATAAATATCATTACTTCGAGGAATTTTCATTTTATGTACAAAATTGTTCGTGATCTTATATTTGTAGGACTTTTATACGGACGATTTTTCTTTAATACTTGTAATTTTTTTTTCAATTGCAATGAAAATGTAGATAAATTGTACAAGTTTATGATTACTGTGTTTAAACAGATCTTCATTTAGGAATGGGATTAATTGTGAATTATACGGAATTATAGGAATCAGATGTCATGGAGGAGTGAGCATCCTTTGCCGATTGCGGTTTAACGTGCCATGTGCTCTTTGTCATGATAGAGAATTAATGGAAAAATCAGGGACGGTTCAGTGTGTAATTATAAATAATGCATTAATGTTTACATTAGGTACCAAATTTTCCCCCTGGAATT